TTCTGCATGCGCGCGCGACCCTCTGCGGAGATTCGCGTGGTCGAGGTTCAAAAACTGAGGACTTTTTACGATTTCTGCGGTGCGCGCGCAACCCTCTGCGGAGATTCGCGTGGTCGGTTCAAAAACTGAGCACTTTTTACGATTTCTGCTGGCCGCGCGCGACCCTCTGCGGAGATTCGCGTGGTCGAGGTTCAAAAACTGAGGACTTTTTACGATTTCTGCTGGCCGCGCGCGACCCTGTGCGGAGATTCGCGTTGTCGAGGTTCAAAAACTGAGGACCTTTTACGATTTCTGCGGTGCGATTCGCGTGGTCGGTTCAAAAACTGAGGACTTTTTACGATTTCTGCTGGCCGCGAGCGACCCTCTGCGGAGATTCGCGTGGTCGAGGTTCAAAAACTGAGGACTTTTTACGATTTCTGCTGGCTGTGCGCGACCCTCTGCGGAGATTCGCGTGGTCGAGGTTCAAAAACTGTTTTACGATTTCTGCTGGCCGCGCGCAGTTGTCTCGTGGTTTGCGCGCCTGCTTTCGCAATCCCGCGGTCGCGGGTTTGATTCCCCCCTGGTCCGCGGCAGCTCCGGCTTGAAAATCGCAGCTTTTAAGTACAAACGTAGTACGCGGAGCGTGCTCCTGCAGCTCCGGCTGGAAAATCGTAACTTTTAAGTACAGACGTAGTGTGCGGAGCGTGCTCCCGCAGCTCAGGCTGGAAAATCGCAACTTTTAAGTACAAACGTAGTACGCGGAGCACACCCCCGCAGCTCCGGCTTGAAAATCGCAACTTTTAAGTACAAACGTAGTACGCGGAGCGTGCTCCTGCAGCTCCGGGTGGAAAATCGCAATTTTTAAGTACAGACGTAGTATGCGGAGCGTGCTCCCGCAGCTCAGGCTGGAAAATCGCAACTTTTAAGTCCAGACGTAGTACGCGGAGCACACCCCCGCAGCTCCGGCTGGAGAATCGCAACTTTTAAGTGCAAACGTAGTACGCGGAGCACTCCCCCGCAGCTCCGGCAGCACTTGCGCAGAGCAACTTGCGCAGAGTCACTTGCGCAGAGCAACTTGCGCAGAGCAACTTGCACAGAGCAATTGCACAAAGCACTTGCGCAGAGCAACTTGCACAGACCAACTTGCACAGAGCACATGCGCAAAGCGCTTGCGCGGAGCAACTGGCGCAGAGCACTTGCGCAGAGCAACTTGCTCAGAGCACTTGCGCAGAGCAACTTGCACAGAGCACTTGCGCGCAGCAGCTTGCAGAGAGCAACTTGCGCGCAGCAGCCTGGAACAATGCAGCTTGCGCAGACCACTTTCGTGAGAAATCGCGCGGCGCAGTTCGAGAGGAAAGTAGGATGATGAGATGGAGCTCTCATGTGACCATACACACTGAGCATCGCCGCGCGCAGACACGCTCGCCGCAGCGATGTAAAAAGGTGCCTCCGCGGCTGGATGAGCACCTGTGGAAAAATGCTTTCGGGCCAATCGTCCTCTAGTTTTGATATGCCCGCGCGACCCTCTGCGGAGATCAGCGTGGTCGAGGTGCAAAAACTCGAGGTTTTTGCGTTTTTGACATTCTCGCGCGACCCTCTGCGGAGATCGGCGTGGTCGAGGTGCAAAAACTCGAGGTTTTTTGCATTTTTGATATGCCCGCGCGACCCTCTGCGGAGATCTGCGTGGTCGAGGTGCAAAAAATCATTTTTTGTGTTCTTTGGATTTTCCCGCGCGACCCCCTGCGGAAATCGGCGTGGTCGAGGTGCAAAAACTCGAGGTTTTTTGCGTTTTTGAGAACCCTCTGCGGAGATCGTGCGTGTCGAAGCGCTCTCGCTGTGGCGCCGTGCGAATTCTTCTTAGTCTCGGCGAACCCTCTGCGGAGATCGTGCGTGTCGATGCGCTCTCGCTGTGGCGCCGTGCGATTTTGCTGCTCGCGAAATGGCCTTTGGAAGTCGTCTCGTGGTTTGCGCGCCTGCTTTCGCAATCCCGCGGTCGCGGGTTCGATTCCCCCCTGGTCCGCGGCAGCTCCGGCTTGAAAATCGCAGCTTTTAAATACAAACGTAGTACGCGGAGCGTGCTCCTGCTGCTCCGACGGGAAAATCGCAACTTTTAAGTACAGAGGTAGTATGTGGAGCGTGGTCCCGCAGCTCCGGCTGGAAAATCGCAACTTTTAAGTACAAACGTAGTACGCGGAGCACACTCCCGCTCCGGCTGGAAAATCGCAACTTTTAAGTACAAAAGTAGTACGCGAAGTACATTCCCACAGCTCCGGCAGCACTTGCGCAGAGCAACTTGCGCAGAGTCACTTGCGCAGAGCAACTTGCGCAGAGCAACTTGCACAGAGCACTTGCACAAAGCACTTGCGCAGAGCAACTTGCACAGACCAACTTGCACAGAGCGCATGCGCAACTGCCGCAGAGCAACTTGCGCAGCACTGCCATGTTTCCTCTGGTAGGACGATGAGATGGAGATCTCATGTGACCCTACACATTGAGCATCGCCGCGCGCAGACACGCTCGCCGCAGCGATGTAAAAAGGTGTCTCCGCGGCTGGATGAGCGCCTGGGGAAAATGCTTTCGGGCCAATCGTCCCCTAGTTTCCTTTGCCATTGTTTTCCATCATAGGGATATTGGAATTTCGATTTTCCTTTCTTTCCCTTCTTTCCTTTGCCTTTTCCCCAATATGCCTGCCCTTTTTGCTTGTCGATTGTCCTTTGCTCTGCTTGAATCTGAAATTCCGCCCAGACACCTTTCTTGCAATGAACGCATCGTTCTCCTCCAGTACCCAAAAAGGCTCTTCATCATTGGTTGACATAAAACCTTCCAGTCCTTCTTCGTCTTCCACCCAGAAGCCTCCTTCACCTTCATACTCTCCTTGTTCCAAAATGTAGAAGGTGTTGCTTCGGTTTTCCTCCGGATGGTCGGATGGATGGATCTTGGATGGATGTTCTGGTCGTTATGAAGAGGTCGACATTGCACTGATCAGTCTTTTTCTGCTGATCTGACAACTCACTTTGGAGAATGAAAAACTGCTCAATGAGGTTGTTGCTGAGGGGAAATGCGTCCCTGTGCCTTGTCTGCATGCCTGTAAGGTACCGCCTGAGTACTTCTGGATTGTCTGTCTGCAGCAGATCTGGAGGCGGTGCTCGTGCGCCAGCGGCTTGCTGGTGCGCGGCATTAGCCTCTTGGACTGAAGCTATGAACTCTGGTGACTGTGCCGTATGAGTTGGCATCAAGTCCATCCAGGCTGCCTTCAATCTCATCAAGAGAAGAGGATCTCAAATTTTGATGTGAATATGAGGAACTCGGTGTTCTGCCTCCTGTGGTTGAAGAAAACGAGAAGTCTGTAAAAGTAGCTCTTGAGGCGTGGTCCTCTCTTGAATTCATCAATTGTTGTGAATGTCACCCAATCATCTACAAGTTCTTCATATCTAAACCAGCTGACTCTTCCGTCGTACGATGGCGGCTGCTTGGCGGTCATCGATATGTTGAGCGTCTCTTTCAGTGTAGCCGGATTGTCGGCCCACACTTGAATAGGCTTCCACGAAGCCTTCTCCATCGGATGACATTGTGTTTGGATTTCTGCAGAAAACCGGCTCCGCTACCACAATTGAGACCCATTGCGGGTACCGTATCCCCGAAGGGAGCAGGTACCTTGTGGTAGTAGAGAATGCGTGGTTCGGCCGTGGATCTATTCTGCAAGAGAGTCCAATATGCCAATAGTGGAGGAACTGAGAATGGCTGTCCCTGGTTCTGGTAATGTGTGCGATATGTCCCTGAAAGGCGCTCCGCTAGGTCTTGTTGTAATGGCTGCAGGATGAATGCAACTATTGTATAAGAGGGGTCTTGAGCCAAATAGCAATGTGTGGTGCAGCGTCAACTGCGAAGCAAAAGCAAGTCCGAGCTGACCGCTTCCCGGCCCTGGAAGCCGAATTTCATTGCTGTGGCGAAGAACAAACATTGCTATCCTTTTTTCTCAGCGGGCACGGCTCCAGAAACCGTGGCCGCGTCCGTCAGCCGCGCCGACCAAGATGGCGTGCGCGCTGTCCTGCAAAGCAGAAGCCCGCAGGCTCACATTTTTGGTCTTACTGGTTCTGTTCCCGTTTGAGTTCTTTGCTTTCGAGCACGTTCGGCATGCTCTTCTTGAAATAGCCGGCCTCTATGGGAGCCGGCTAATGCTTAAAACGGTTAAGTGCAACATTCAGCTGTGGCGACGTAGCGGCGTAGTGTCGGCGCCGCGAATGAAGGGCCAACTTCACGAAAACCCTAAATTCCAGCTTTGGCCCGATTAAAAGCGCCAGGCCGATTTGAAGCTCCAGGTCAATTTCAAGCGTCAGGCCCCCAAGGCAAATTTCGGCTTCACGAATGTAGGCGCCAAAGTTCAGCGGCAGACGCGCTTTTGGTCTCAGCCCGAATAAGTAAGTCAGGCAAATTTTAAGCGTCAGGCCCCCCACAGGCGTGAAAAACAGCTCCGCGACTTTAGGCACCGTATTTCAGCATCAGACGCGTTTTTCAGCAGCCTGGAAAGCTGAAGTTGAGCTTCGGCGCCTTCCCGACTTGGTGGCGATCCGCGAGCCTGGGAGCATTGCGGATGCCAGGTTGGAACGTCTTGCTTGCCCCATCGCCAGTGGACAAAGCACCTGTCGTTGCCGACTTACATGCCCGAGTGATCCGCTCACTGCGTCACGTTTTCAATTTTTGCGGCCTGCGCTCCTTTGACTCACGCCCGGTGCTGATAGCACCGCTTCCGCGCAATACGACTTTCCATTGTATTCTTCTGTCACCAGGAGCGTGAGGCGCACAATCCATTCCTCTCCTCCACTGAATCAACCCCAGTGGTTGGGATGTGCCTGCTGGTGTTGATGCATGGGTCAGATGATTTCTCCCACGAAGAATCGATGCAAAAGCTTGTGCTGAAGCATCGATGAAGCTGGGATGTGGACCTACTGCCCATCACATCCAGGTCAAATCGAAGACGGGTCAATCGTCCGTCAAAACTCAGGAATACCCCCCATCCAGACAGAAGATCGGGTTTGCCCGAACGGTGAGTAGCAGCCGACGGGCAATGCGGCTTGTTGTTTGGCAGCAGCTAGCCATGACAACAAGGACTTCTTAACTTCTTTTGGGTTGTTGTTCATGAATGTGTTTGCGAGACTTTGCATTTTGGCTCCTGCGCGATTGGACGATGGTTTGTCAGATGGGAAAAGTTGAAAGGCGCGAGGCCTCAGCGAGGCCTCAGCTTGGCCCGAGTGAGTCCGAGCCTTGCGCCATGGAGCTCGACGGCATCCTGGTGAGTCTGAACCAGCTATGCGAGAATGGCGTCGTGGAGGTATCTCGGCTTCAGCAGGTTCTGGTGAAGATTGGCATGCAGCCCGGGGACGTAGACATGGTCCTCAACAGCATGCAGCAAGGTGGGCGGATCAAGATGGCAGAGTTCGCGGCCTGGATTTCAGGCAGGCCACGAAGCACGGTGCCGTGGACTGACAACATCATTCTTGCAACAGACAGCTACAAATTCAGCCACTGGAAGCAGTACCCACCAGGCACAGAGTATGTGTACAGCTACTTTGAGAGTCGTGGATGTGATCGTGACGGCTGGAATGACGTGGTGTTTTTTGGGCTGCAATACTTTCTCAAACGCTACCTGGCTGGGCAAGTTATTTCCCAAGAAAAAATCGACGAGGCAGTGACAATGTGTTCAGAGCATTTTGTTGGGAACGGCCTCTTCTACAAAGAGGGCTTCCAGTACATCTTGGACAAGCATGGCGGCAGGTTGCCAATCTCCATCAAGGCACTGCCTGAAGGAACTGTGGTTCCTACAAAAACCGCATTGTTCACCATGGTGAACACGGACCCCAAGTGCTTCTGGTTGACCAACTTCTTGGAGACGCTGTTGGTTCAGGTGTGGTACCCCATGACGGTGTGCACTAACAGCCGGTACCAGAAGCTGGCAATCCACGAGGCCTTGAGGGAGACCGGCCACTCCGACTGGGCCATCGGTGGAACCGCCTTCAAGCTGCACGACTTCGGCTTCCGCGGCGTGTCCTCCGTGGAGTCCGCCGCCCTGGGCGGTGCCGCGCACCTTGTGAACTTCCTGGGTACGGACACCGTGGCGGCTCTGCTCTGCACCAAGAGGCGAAAGATGGCGAAAGCAAACGACTCATACCTTAGCCATGCCTGTTCATACCTTAGCACACCTTAGCATACCTTAGCACACCTTAGCTTCAGCCCCAAGTTCCTTTGACATGCAGGGACTCCGCTTTTCCTTCCTTTCACCAATGGCCAGAAGCCCAGAAGCGCAGCGCAGGTACTATCATGCCAAGAAGGCGGCGGGCTTCTCTATCCCAGCGTCAGAGCATTCCACGATCACATCCTGGGGTGTCCAGAAGGAAGTGGATGCCATGAGAAACATGCTGCTCCAGTACCCGGCGGGGCTCGTAGCCTGTGTGAGTGACTCCTTTGATGTCTTCAAGGCGTGTCGGGAGTACTGGGGCGACAGTTTGAAGGACATGATCAAGGGCCGCATCTCCGGTGACAGCTGGGGGAGGCTAGTGGTGCGCCCGGACAGCGGGGATCCGTCCGAAACCTGCGTGCAGATTCTGCAGATTTTGTGCGAACAGTTCAAAGAGGACGTGACGCTCACGTCCACGGGCCACCGCCTGCTGCCGCAGTACCTCCGCGTCATCCAGGGCGACGGCGTGGACTACGCCTCGATCCCCAAGATCTTCAACGCCCTGAAGAGCGCCGGCTTCGCCGCCGAGAACATGGTCTTCGGGAGCGGCGGGGCGCTTCTGCAGAAGCTCAACCGAGACACCTTCAAGTGCCTCGATTTCCTGAACCTGGAAAGCATGGGAAGCGTGGGAAGCATGGGAATCATGGGAGGGGTAGGGCATGAGAACATCAGCCAAAGAGAGGCTGTGAGGCAGAATGTGAATGAAGTGAATAGAGGGGTGCGCCCGCAGCTCACGGGCAGGTCTTTGAACCGAGGTGCGCCTTCAAGTGCTCAGAAATCACCATCGCAGGCAAAGCTCGCGAGGTTTTCAAGGACGGGGCTTGATCAAATAAGGGCTCCCGCAATCTCCAATCAGGGAGTGGCAGCACTTCCGAGTGTACACTATGCACAACAGTCGCCAGGGCAGAAGGGGGTTTGAGCATTTGACTTTCAATCCGTCGAGACGGCCCAGCTACGCTTACGCATGCTGTTTCACAGCAGGGTGCTTAGTGCTGTGAAGAGGGAACGCTGTTGGTCCAGGATCCTGTCACAGACAAGGGCAAGGCCTCAAAGAAAGGCCGCCTCACTGTGCAGAAGGCCGATGAAACCATTGGCAGGGAAGAGGCACACGCGCGGGCTTACAGCAAGGCTTATAGCAAGGCTTGCAGCAAGGCTTGCAACAAGGCTTGCAGCTTGCTTGTGGCTTGAAGTTGCTGAAGTTCAAGCGTCGGTGAGTTCGGCGTCGGTGGCCAGGACCGATACCAGCCCCGGCAGGGTGAGTCAGGAGTGCCTGGCGGACATGGCTTCTTGCACTACAGTGCTGATGGCCAGTATGTCACCGTGGCTAGTGGGAAAGGCGACCTCGCCAAGGACCGACCGAGCACAGCAGCGCACAGTAGCACAGTAGGCGAGCGCAAGCCAGAACTTGCAGGACTTATTGGTGGAAGTCTTCCGCGACGGAGCTCTGTTGAAGGATTGGACCCTGGACGAAATCAGGCAAAAAGCTGATATTCCCAATGGGCCTTTCTCACAGGCTTAATCCTGCACCCAGTCCTTGCATTTATGTTTCACTGACGTTACAAAGTGGTAACCGTGAGCATCACAGCCTGCCTGGGGTTGCGAGCTACACGACATCGTGTGGGCTTGCTTGCTGAATCCGTTGAGCCACACGTGCCAGAAAAGAGAGGAAGAAGAGGTTGTACGAAAGTTCATTTGCTCAACCGCACACGCAGTCATTTGCATGCCGGCGCCGCTCTTCGTTGTTTGTAGCAGTTGGGGGATGGTGACGCCTTGTGAGTGTCTCCGCCACGTTTGCGTTGTTGAGTTTCTGCAGCCCAAGGACAGCAGTTCCAATGCACTCCCTAGTTCTCAGGTTATCAGCGAGTGGAGCAAAAGCCGCTTGACATCGACTGACCTGTTGTCAACTCGCGGGGCGGGCCGGACTGGCAGGCGTCATGGCAAAGCTGAGCACAGACAAGCACCACCATCACCATCATCACCATCACAAGGCATGCAGGCAAGTGGTGCAAGCTTAGTTCGAAGTGTCGAGAAGGACAGATCCTCTTTCAAAGACGGCCAGAAGCACACGACGCCTCCAGTCTCGGCGTGTGCCTCAAAGCGGGTGCCAAGGCCATGTCAGTCTCATAGGACCCAACCCGAGTCTTCTACGAGTCGCTCTTGGAAGAGAAGCCTGACAGCCCCATTGCCATCAGGCGGGACGGGATCGAGGGAGGCCAGGGCTCCAGGGCTTGGCCAGGGCCCGGCCAGGGCCCCGCCACCCCGCCCGGGTGACAGGTACTGCGTCGAGCATGGGACGCTCTCCGCGGAGCTCCATGGCGAAATGCTGAAGAAGTACTTCCAGCTGCGGAAGGTCGAAGAAAGTTCCCTTTCGATTCTAAGCAGTTGCGCAATGCCTCACCCTGTGGCCTGCGTAAACTTGGGCGTGTGATTGCAGGGCGCGATCCTGCCATCAAAGCGGCAGGTGGGCTCGAGTTCCGTGGCTGCCAAGCTGGATTCATGACCTGAGGCGTGAGCTGCATGCTTCAAAGAATCTGCCGTAAGGCTGGGCAAGTGCATAGGCAGTTGGGCCGTATGGTCTCCGGCCTTCGACATGTGAGTGCGCACCGGTTACAACGAGTACTCGCCGAAAGCACGGAGAAAGTACTGGGCACAAGTTTAGAGCGCGCCGACTCGCGCAGTAACCAGGTATGCGCCAAAAGATTGTGTAACTTGGCATCGAACGTGAGAGCGCGATCCAAGCGCGCTGGGCTGTCAGGGTTGGCTTTCTATTTGTGTGACGTTCCTGCATGCTGCATTGTCTTTTGCAACAAGCTGAATCTTTAGGCAGGTTTCCCTCCAAACAAAGGAGTGTCACAACGTGGCATTCTGCACCAAGGAGATATGTGTTGTGTCACATGTGCTGTTCTTTGCAGGTTTCTTGTTTATGGAATGTGGGGTAGTTGTGCTGAATTTATGATTCTGCTTTCTCTTCTAATCTTTCGCTTGTCGGACAGTGCCATTTCCCAAAAAGCTTCGGTGCATATCCAATTGTCACATTTTTTCCCCAAGCAACTTTCTGCATTGTAGTTTGCCTCTTTCTAGGAGGGCGCATCACAATCTTCACGCATGCTTGGGTTTTGCGATGCATGGTTTGTGGTTTGAGTACGGGGTTGTGTGTCTCGGAATGCATGTTGGCTGTGGGTGTGTTTTGTCGGGCCATAGGGAAGTTTGCGGGAACATTGTTTTTCTCTAATGCGGTTTTCCGTTTCATGATGTGTCTCACAATGTGTGGCCATGCGGAATTTCCATGGGCTCGGGGTGCCAGGAGCCCAGGTTCCAGGTGGGCTGTGCGTGTACTTGGCGATGCCAAGATCGAATTGGACACACCGCCGTGTGTGCGCGCCGGTGAATACTGTACAAATACATCTGCGAGCCAAGCTGATCTCAGTCAAGCTCACTGAATCCTACATGATCACTCCATTGATCCACGTAGTTTTGTGTGAAGTCCTGAGTTGAGATGGATGGGGAAGGAATTCTCACAGGGTGTTTTTGTTGACTGCAGAATTCTTTCAGAAATCAATGGTCGAGGCCACTTTAAATGAGTTCTAGCCATCTGCTCAACTCAGCAGGCCCCGCACCTTGCAGTTGAGTTGCCCTCTGGTGCCTACAGGATACAAATATTGGGCCTGCCAATTCTGCGACACGCCTTTTCAGCCTGTACAGGATAAGAGGGCTGCGCAATACAGAGCGCACATGCGCGCATGCGCAAGGAGCCGACTTGAGCAGGAGCGGAAAAAACATGTTATTCTGGGCGATTTTGCGGTGCTTCCTGCCTGACACCAAATGCCTTGTCTTGTGTCATTCTGATTGACCTTGGCTACGATGGCCTGCGGGCAGCCCGACATTGCCGCGAGCTGTCCGAGACGGCCAGCGCCGATTTCAATGCCGGGCCGGCTTCGCAAGCGCCAGCCTGCCAGCGATGATGACTCTGATGCGCCTCGGGCACGGGGTCGGCCGAGTTCACTTGAGGTACAAGGGCGAGGCGCTGGGTCGGCGACGAATGCCGATCCGCTCAATGAGTCCATGCGAGAGGACGGCCAGAGCCCCACAGACCTGGAAAAGTCCCGTGGCGACTCGCTGGGGGCTGACAATGCGCTGGACAAGGCCAGCGCGGATTCAATTGGCGTCAGGCCCACAATCGAGGGCGAGGGTGGCACTCAGAGCAAGAGGCCGAAGCGGTCGCCAGGCCGTGCAAAGACCCACGTCTCCAAGTTCGGCATGCCCAAGACTCGGTCCAGGCCATTTCGTCTTCTGTGCGAGCTGGCCGAGCCCAAAGGAATCATCCTGGCAACGGATGTGGATTGAGGCGACTGAGAATTTGCTGTTGTTCAGTGTGAGCCAGAGCTGGGCGGGGGGCAGCTCAAGCTCTGCATGACTAGAGGGCGAAAAAGTTGAGGTACGGAGGGGACCCAAATGCAACATTTTGCAAGTTCTCCGGTGTGTGTTTGCAACATGTGTGTGTGGCCTGAATCTTACAGCTCAAAGCCATGGGGCGCACTGTGCCCCCTGTTGCCGACTCAGAGCTCAGTTGCTTGTGCCAATTCGGTCCTGCTGTCCTGAGGCTGGCTCGGGCAAAGGCAAAATGTACATCCATGCAATGCACCATGCAACGTGCCATCCCAATCCAGAGTCTGGCCGTCTGCCTTTGCAGGCTCCGAGCGTGGTGGATCGCCACCCAAGAGCCAATCAAGACAGCCTGAACAGGCGATATGCATCAAGCGCAGAGACATGAAAGCATGATGTGTTCTTTTGTACTTGGGCACATGCCAGGCAGCCCTAGATCCCAACGGCTCAATCACAAACAGCACACACACAGAGACGCAGACACAAACATACAAACACACACACACACACACGTTCCAGCTACGTGCAGGTCGGCAATACGAAGGCCTTGAGACAATTTCCTGCCTGTCCAGGTCAAGCGGAGAGGCCTCACAGTCACCGCAGCAGTTATCCGCGCGGACGCTGATGCAAAGTTTCATTTTGTTTGCCAGGCTGACATTGGCAGACATTATGCCTGCTCCCCCAAAGGACCACGCTTACAACCGAAGTGTCATTAAGATTGCGCGTCTTGGCAGCAAGTGAAAGCACCGAAGCACGCGCCATTTGATGATGGGCGTTTCAGGCGGCATGCGGGAGAGGTTTCCCGAACTTTGGAGCAACTAAAGGAAATAATTGAAGCGCGATCTAGCGGATCCAGTGAAAAGTGTGCTTGTCACCTGCCCGCTCAAGTCCCTTTGAACGCTGTGCATTGCCGTGCGTTGCCGTGCGTTGCTGCCTGGGTTGCATGGCCAATTCCTGGAAGCAATCGTCACGTTTGCCCCATCCCCATCCTGTCCTATGGGGCGTATGATTGATTGTGTGGAGACGGCTTCGTGCCTAGCATGCGACGGCTCTCCTAGCGCAGCTGTTGCAGCTCAAGATCCAGCAGGCCTTCGAGATGCCAGTGGCATTTCTCTCGCAGCCTTCTATGTTAGGCTTCTTGCCTTAGAAATCGAGCCGCCCATGCATTTCTGAGTTGACCATTCTAGCCAAGGCTTTGTGCAAATTCTATCCATATTGTCTCCATGCCTGGCAGTCGTGGAGCAGACCCTTTCATCTGCCAGTGTGTCCGCGAATGGTAAAATTTACATCGCGCATGAAGCCATCCCAGACCAACAGACTTTGACAGCTGAGCTGCTTGGCATCCCGTATGCTGTCATATGCCAGACATCCGATACAGAGCGGTAGCAGAGGGCCGTTTAGTTTGCTGCACGCAAGTTTCACCGTTGCCATTCAGGTCAGACGATGCCAGCTTGATCAGACGTAGCGAAGAATCCTGGCGGACATGTCAGTCATACCACATGAGTTTCTTAGGCTGCGTGCAATGTTGCCAAGGAGAAGCCATTGCATCAGCACAACGGCAGATTCCCCACTTTCCAGCTAGCTCAACTAGCCGGACGTGAGGCCTTAAGAAAGGAGCCCGAGATCAAACAATTCACCTCGTGGCTGGGCATGAGTCATCGAAATGCTTGCTGTTTTGCGCAAGCTCCATCTGACTTTAGTTTGGCTTGTCCTTACTCTCGCTTGTGTTAGCGCTTGCTGGCACTACCTCTGTGTACCTCTCGCTTATTCTCCTTCTGTTTACTTGTGCTTGTCTGACTGCGTGCTCGACTCGAACCAAGTCCAGCTAGCCCTGCTTGCTTGTTCTCGCCTTTGTTGGATTGTTATGTCTTGCGCTGCTGGCTCGTTCTCACGTGAGCTTGCTTGCGCTAGCTCGGGCTCGTTGGTTTTCAGGTTTCACGAACCCATGCTGTTGCTTGCTTGCGCATGTGCTCCCTAGGGCCGCCGCTGCGTGCTCGGTAACTTGGCTTGTCGCCAAAGCTAAGGACAGACGCGTGGACACCCGAGGCCGACGGCACAGCGGAGATCTTGATCGTTGGCGGAGGCGGCGGGGGCGGAGGCCGTTCAGGAGGGGGAGGTGGCGGTGGTGCCGTGGTGGAGGTCAAGGAGCGGAGCGCGATGCAATCACCACATTCCGATGCAACATGTGTCGGGCATTCAGAGGTAAGGGTCCCAAGATGTCCAAGGGCCTTCGGGCCAACTGGGCCCACTTGGTACACTTGGTGCACTGGCAGGACTTTAAAATTACGAAGGGCACCAAGTATGAGCTGCTTGAATGTAATTGAGTGCATCATCTAGTCACGTCTGTTTGTTATTGCCTGGACACAGCATGCTGGATGGCAGCCTGGGACATGCGTCAATGTGTACAGCGACAAGTCTTGGCACTTGGCCGCATTGGCCAAGGATTGTTGTTGGCGAGGGCGGCAAAGGTGGAACACCAGCCGGTGCGCCGGGAGACTCGTCCAGAACTTGCTGAAATGGGGTCAGAATTTCGCTCTCTGATGCCGTTTGCATTTTTGTTTTCGCGAGACGAGGCTCGTCTGGGCAGAAGTCGCAGTTTGGGGATCTGACGGCGCTTGGAGGCGGAGGGGGCGGAAGCGACGGCGCACAGGAGGGCAAGCAAGGGGGCAGTGGCGGCGGAGGGAAGTACGGCAAGAAAGGCGGCCCTGCAATCCAGAGCAAGGAGAGTGGAGATTCCGGAAAAAATGGCCATGGTCATGCAGGCGGGGGTTGAGAGTGGGTGCTGTTCTGGCAAGAAGGCCCCAAGCATCACTAAAAGGTGGCTAAATCACTTGTGGTTGCTTGTGTCTGCATGAATTGCCTGGGCTTGCGCGCCCTTATCAATGATTGCAGGGGGGGTTGACCCCCTAAATGATTGCCAGCCCTTGCAACCATGTTCGGAGTCCAAACAATTGCAGGACCCTCCTCTCCCAATGCTTACAGACCCCTCTCTCTCGGTGAATTTTGATAACTTAAGCGTTACGCATGACGGGTCCGGAGGTGGACCCAGCCCATAAACAGGACTGTTGCTCGCTTGCACCACTCGTTTGACTGAAAGCTTTGCAACGCCCCCTAGCCACCTTGCGTGTTGCCATGCGTGTTGCCTGCAAAATCTGCCAGATTCACGTGAGCTTTCAATGGAAACCAAGATTGCCAACGTCATACTTGAAGCCCGAAGGCCAACAAAAATAGAGCAGACCATTCACACACGCAGCTTGGGGTTTGGTGAGTTTCTTGTGTCCAACACGCAGCCTGCAATTGGCTTTGGGTTGGGGCGCGTGGTTTGTCGAATTGCAGGCCGAGCATTGGCGCGCGAGGTTTGCGATGTTTGGTTTTTGAGTCCGTTGGACTTAAGTCTTCGATCAGGTGGCTCAGGCACAAGCGGGACGTGGAATGCTGGCGGTGGCGGCGGAGCAGGTTCCAAAGGCATGAGCGGCACGGCATCCGAGTGCGGGAACGGCGGCAAAGGCTACGAATCCAAAATCACGGGCAAGCGACCTGAGCTGCAGGAATGTTAATTGTTGTGTCTTAGGGAAAGGGGGTGCATGTTGTATGAGACAAATGTATGGTCCAAGGGGAGAATACTACGGCGGTGGAGGTGGCGGTGGCTCACACAACCCACCTTGCAAGGCAACGGCCAAGGGGGGCGAGGGTGGTGGAGGAGACGGCGGCAAACCGGGCGGCAAAAATGCCGGCGCGGGTGGTCGGGGTCTCAGGGTGCGTCCAGCACATGCCCACATCGCATCTAGGAAGTGAAGTTATGCCGAAGGATTCGCAGTTTCCAAGAATCGACCTCACTTAACTCCAAATAGTGTCTCCAGTTACACTAGATTTGGTTGTTTTCGTTTACAAAGGCTCTTGAAAGGCAGGTTTTCAATCATCCTGCGCATTTGTCCCGGACCTGGCCATCCCCTTCCCCCCCTCACCCGTGCCCAAGCTGTGTCAACCCTCCGTATTAAAATCAGCCGATGGGAACACGCTTGCCCTGATTGCAGTAGAACCTTCGGCAATCCTTGGACCTTCGAGGCAAAGATGAGTACGGCGGCGGTGGTGGTGGTGGATCTACGGATTCTGGCACCGGTGGCGCTGGAGGAAAGGGCGGAGCTGGCATTGTCGTTGTCAAGTTTACAGCTGTGGAGGCAGAGAAAAGCACAGCCACAGCTTTGCATGTTGGCCTTGCGGTCCTCCTTCCACTTCTCCCGCTTCTCATGTAGATGTGTGCGGGTGCCCTTAGTGGGGCTTTGTAGCCTTGGCAAATTTCACCCTCGAGTATCAGGGCCGAGCTGCTGGACGGCTGAGAATTGGCGCGACTCTTGCGTGCAAGCCTGCGTATGACAGATGGCAAAGCAAAAAATGTCAGCATGCCGCCATGGAACATACCCGTCATGTACAAACATAAGTGGCTTCAAGAGGTTCATATGCCTGTGCATCAGCCGGAGCAACACCAGATTTCAGAACTCCATCGTGAGATTTGCCAGCGCGCTATTGGAGCCACCTTTGGCTTGCAGCTGGCTCCTTCAGATTGTTTAGATGTTCCCCCCATGCCTGCCCTTTGCAGCTGGGAGATGCGGCGGTGACATGCGGTGAGGCGACGCATGTTGTCACTTGAAAACGGCCGCAGCTGGACTTGTGCTGTGCGAGTCATTGAGGATGCACTTCGCCTGCGTCCTGGCGCTGTGGGCGGGCAGGCATGTGGCATGGTGTTGCCCGGTGCGTCATGTGAGCTGCACTCATTGCCTCAGGGTTACAGGGCTTTCTGCCAAGGCTGGGTGATTGTGTTCGAGACTGGTGTTGGAGACCGCTTCCTTGGCAGGTTCGGCAGAGCCCCTGGGAGCTAGCGCAAATGTGGGACAAGCAGACGTGCGCCGATTTGTCAATTCTGGGTGATGCTGGCTTGCGCTTGCGCAGGCTGGCATCTTTCTCCGTGCCACAGCTGGATGCCTTCTCAGTCATTTTGCAGGGCGAGTGCCCCCTTCTCTCGCGGGCTGTCCGGCCACCTCCTGAGCAATCTTTCGGATCCGTGCCCTGAACTGGAGCGCGTGAGGTGTCGGCAGCGACGCTTGGCTTAGCAGCTTCGTTCGCTGTGCTGGACGTGTCGTGTCGCTTGTCGCATGTCGCCCTGTCGCGTTTGAGGCCGGCGCCCGGGATTGGCCCGGCTGCGGCGCTTGGAGTCATCGTATTTGGACGAGGAAGCATTCTTGGCAAAGCGCCAGGCGCAAGCAAGCAGCTAGCAGCCGGCATGAGCTAGCGATAGCTGTCTCGACAGACGGGTCCCGGTTGCAGGCTGTGGCCATGATGCGGCACGTGTGGAAGAACTACGAGCAGCACGCCTTTGGAAAGGATGAGCTCAGGCTCGCGCCGGCGCATTCCTGTGCATCGAGTGCTGTGTTCGGCAGGCCTGTGTCAGGAAATGGCACGGATAACTGGGGCGGTATTGGACAAACTCTGGTCGATGCGCTGGACACTCTTTGGCTGATGGGCTTCATGGAGGAGCTTGCTGACGCAAGCTTGGGGTTTAGGTTTGGGTTGAACATGAAATGAATGTGGCGTCTGGAGCAGGAATTCGATCGGGCAGCAGTCTGGGTGGAGTCATCCCTCAGCGACTCATGCCGCACTGCGACGCAAAGCCAACGACAGCACACAGCTCATAGCCTTTATCTGCTGAACCAGTATCAGCTGCGAGGCTTCTCGAAGGATTTGAACGTGAATCTGTTTGAGACATCCATTCGGCACCTGGGCGGGCTTCTTGCAGCCTTTGCGCGGCTTGGCTGCGCCTCACTTGGCACACGTTGCAAATCTGAGAATTCAGGCTAAGTGGTCGAGCAGGCCTGCTGGCCAAAGCTCGTGACCTGGGCGATCGATTGCCGCTTTATTGCAGCGCGGAGGGGTATTTTTTGTTTTTTTCCGCTTTTGGCTTCTTGGCTTTGGCTTTTGCGGCTTTTCGCTGGTTTATGCGTCTTTTGGCGGCTTTGGCTTTTTGCATCCTCTGCTTTCCCAGTTCCTCTCCGGGCTTATTGCCCTTTCATTGGTTTTTGGATTTGGCTTCCCGCATCATCAGCATCACCAGTTCATCCCTATTTGAATCATCACTTCTTCGAACATCATGAGGGGGCAAGCACCCCCCAACCCACCCGCTACTGTTTAGATTGTTTGCAGAATCATTGCACCCCTATTTGAATCGACACTTCTTCAAACATCATGGGGGGGCTGCCGCCTCCCCCCCGCTACTTTTTAGATTTCTTGCAGGGGTTGAATTGCACCCCTATTTGAATCATCACTTTTTCGAGCGTCCAATTTCGCAAGAAAATGCTGCAAACTACGACATTTTAGGTAATCTGTGTAATCCATGTATGTCTGTGTGTGTGTGCACTTCTTCGAACATCATAGAACAAGCCACCCTCGCCAACCCTCCCGCTGCCTTTCCAATTCTATCGCACCCTTTCTTGAATCATTGCACCCATACTTGAACCATCACTTCTTCGGACATCATGGAGGGGCTGCTGCCCCTCCAACCCGCCCGGACTTTCTACAGAGATTTAATTGCATCCCTAGTTGAATTATCAGTTCTTCGAACATCATGGGGGGTCTTACGTGAACGTGGGGTCGACTTCTTTGAGCTTGTAGTTGATGGTCTCAAGCGCGTAGGAAAGTCCTGCGGCTGATAACCTGTGATTCGGGCACGAGCCTGTGCCCAGGCGAAGGGTTAGTTGGGGTAAACAAGCCACAAAGCAAGGTTCCCCAAAAACAAACCAATCCCCGGTCCCAAAGATCAGGGTTTCCCAAAAGGGAAATAAACCAACGCAAGAATGCAAATACCCGCAACCTAGATCGACGATGAACCGCACGAGCAATCCCCACCAATCTGCCCCGGGCCGATGTCTCTTTCTCCACCGACACGAAGGTGATCGACGCGGGGACCCGGCGACGCTCATCCGAGGCGCGACGGACCCGCAAACTTGAGCCAAACACCACCGGTCGGTCACTATCGCGACATCCCAGGTGACGTTTCAATACATGGCTAATCACAATTTATTTGAGATCTGTTTTGCGTTTTTCCGTCCGGGCCAGTAAAATCTCGTATTTTACAGCATGTTCTCGCGAAATTGACGCATTTTACGCTAGCCCGTCAACATCCCCAGCATCGCTTTCAACATCCCGCGCGTGTCCGACCAACATCCCTAGCATCACCAACAAAGCGTGGGCAACAAAATCAAAAAGAAGTAGCTGGCGGGTTGACGGGGTCAAAAAACAGATGTTTCAAATAGGAGGGCATTTCAATCCCTGTAAAAGAAATCTAAAAAGTAGCGGGGGTTGGAGGACTTCGAAGCAGGTTCAGCAGACCAGGGCCGTAGGGTGATGATCCCAATAGGGACACACCCCGAAGCCGCGGCAGGTACACTGACGATGGAGACAGCCGTGTTTTCCGTCAGGTTACCGATGAGAGGAAGGACGAGGAGCTCATTGAACTTCATCAGCATGGCAATGAACATGGCCTAGCCGATCTCCTTGGTCTCTTTTTCAAGGTGAATCACAGGCCTCCGGAGAGCTCGCGGACAGGCCACGAGGACCAGGGACCTTGGTTTCGGCTCCGAGAGATATCTCAAGTCAACCCAAATCCAGGTCAGTTTGATGAGCGTGAGGAGAGGGTTTTCGCCGGTATCGGATACGATGTTGTCTTCAACTGCAGGATGGGGCAGTAGCGTGAAACCTGAGTCTGATGCCGATCAACGACTCCGTATGAGTTCGGTAATGATGAAGAATATGCCGCATTTGCGGACGCTCGTGATGAAGAGGAGAGTTTATCTTACCGAAGTGCGAGGAGTCGCGCTGCTGCGAGGGTCAGGAGAGTCGGGATACCCTTAAGGGCTGGAGGCAATCCATGATGGGAGAGGGCCGATAGGCCCTCCCGGGATTGAACCCATTCCAAATGTTCCCCCAACATCACTTTTGGAGGATCGCTGCATCAGAGGGTCGAGGACACTAACCGGGATACTGGTTCGTCCAAGACCGTCAGGCGCGCTGCCGATGCAATTGAAACGGCAGCAAGAGATGGGAGGCTTGCAGGTGTGCTTGGCATTGAGGATCGCTTGCCAATCGCTAGGGGCGCGATCTCAGCAACCTTGAACCACTAAGGTCGAGCAATGAGTTCACCCCTCAGTGGAGTGGAGGCGGATCTGCCAGTATGGAGCGCAATGCTTCTGCAAAGAGATCGCCGCTTGCCGGAGATGCCGACAGATCGAAGGCAAGGAGGGCTAGCCCGGAGCCGCTAGGTTCTGTGCCGGAGGATGAGGAGATGTATGATGCTGCTGACATTCACATCCACTCTACACCCGAATCCCGAAGCTCCGATGTCATTCCCAGACCTGGCGATAGCCGGGAAAGGGACGTCAGTCCGAACAGGCCTCCAAGAATGGTCGGAAGTCCTTCGTTGTCTGTTCTCGAGGGTTGAGATATCGCCCCTCCTCTTTCAGGTCCCATCAGGTGACTCCGAGGTGCCGCCTGGAGAAGCTAGGGTAAAGGAAGTGTTTGACGCACACCTTCAAGAGATGTTCGAAAGAGGCGAAGCTTCAGGTCCGATCGTGAACACTCTTGTTGCTTTTGCTGGCCAAATCAGGTTGCTGAACGGTTCAAGTGAATTCCATGCACCGGGAGTGGTGTGATGAAAACCTGCACAAGTTTGCCCAGGCTGGAGCAGCTGGAATCCCAGGCTGCCCTGGCCCAACTCCTCGTTGACTGCTCCCACCACTTGGGGGTCGCGCGCAAGGAGTTGCTCAACTTGGGGCCACGCCCGGCAAAAGATGCTGTGGCTCAAGTGCTCCAAAGCGTTTCAACATGGGTGGTTGGCTACCGCACACATGTGAAAACTGCCAACGCCCTGCTGCAGTCCCACAAGAGGGAGGTGCTCGGCAAGCCAAAAGGCAAGGCCAAGGCAAAAGCCAAGTATACTTGGGGTGCGCTCCGGAAGCTTAGCGACGCGCACTATTGTTGGCCTCAACCTAGAGGCCCGTTTGACCTCAAAAAAGGAGGTCAGACCCATGCCGGATTTTCACGGCCATACCGTGTTTTCACGTTTTTCACGGCTCACAGGGCCCTTTGTGTAGATCCTACCAAGAGACCTTGCGGCAGACTTCTATGTTTGCTTTATTTTGACACTTGACCTCCAAACAATCCAACACCGTTGACATCTGGGCTCAAGGCCCTCTTTGTCTTAGCCTTAGTCCATGCATACAGCGCACATCGCATCCGCAAGCAAAAGAGGCATTGCGGGCCGCTCTTACGGTATCTACACCATACAGTGGAAACCAGGGACTTCCAGCCGGGTGACCAGGGTTATCCAAGAGGAAGTTCTCCCAATAGTCAGCCAGGGTAGATGTGTCCTCAACCAAAACATGCAGGAAGCCATCCGCAATGAGGGCGTGTGCCTCACCATCAAGACTCTCCCAAACGTTGGCGCATCCCCAACCCAAAGAGCTACTGCAAAGAAGTTAGGGGTTGGTTCGCCAAGCTGCAAAATCATACGGTAGCAGGAAGGGCCAAGAAACCATGTGCGCTTCCGGCTGCTCCGGATTCTTAAGCATCGGCAGTTGGACAGTGCGAATTGGGCACCGCAGGCCAAAGCCTTGCCGAAAAGCGCGTTCATGAAGGCCAGTCTCTTGCTCTGACCTGCCACGCGGAGCTGGGAGAAAGAGCGCAATTTGGGTCGGGAATCTCAGAGCAAACAAGGGGCGGGAACAAGTCGCTGTCATAGATGTCCCCCATAGCTGACGCGTGGTGGACTGAAGCAGCGCCAGTCCCCACGGCAAAGGCCAACCTGAGAAGCGATGCAAGGCACCTTGATCTCCCCACTGAAGAAAAGAAACGCAGTTGATATCTGATTTGGGATTCAGTCACGTGCAAAGATTGAGGGGCGAGCGATCGGTCCAGTTCTTGGCGAACTCGGTGCAGGGCTGTTGAAGAGGCAGTGGTACCTGCGTTTGGGGTCAGCCACGCTCTGATGCCACACAGTTTGGTTCCAAGGCTGGCAAACTCGCTGAATGCAATGTTTTTCACACCGATCAGCAACAGCACTGCGTTCCCTGCGTCCTAAATTGAGCTTTGGCCCCTTCACACACCTCTGTGTGCAAATGCCACGTCAACACTTCGCAGGCGTCAGAAAGCCAGGCGCACAGAATCAAAACGTTGGGCTTTTCCCAACTGCGTAAACTTGGCGGTGCCCAGACTGCCAGCCATCCCCTTGAGTGTTCAGCTTTTTGGGCCCCTAAGGCTTTTGGCTTTTTAGGGTTTGGTGGTAGTTTCCAAGTTGCCCTTGAGTTTCAACCAATGTTTCCAAGTTTCCAAAAGATCTGAGAGCAGCCCAGAGAACCACAAGCTGGTGTCAATCAGCCAGTTTTGGCAGGGGCGGCATTGTTTGAATTGTTTGCCGCGCGGCCCTTCTTGATTTCCTTAGCAACCGCTGCGGCTTGCGCCCGGATGAGACGGGTTTCATCCAGCAAGTCCTCAGCCCGGCCCTCCACGTTGAGCAAGCCTCCCTCGCCCATGTCCTTCACCTTGAGATCGCGATGGCAAATGGGAGATTGGCCACAAACACCCTCCAAATAATCAGATCAGAAAGCAGGCCTCAAATGTAAGGCCTTGGTTTTTAGTCCACCCAATAGCAAAGGGGGCTCCGTATGTGGCACCTTCTTTGGCTTTGTCTTGGGGAGAAGGGAGTGAAACAACACACCTTGAGCCAAGGCAGGTGGAGGTTTCCCCAGTACAATCTGGCAAACTCCTTTTTTTGTTGGAGGCAGCCAAGCGCACGGCGCCCCAACATGTGGATGTTGTGAGCTGACATGCTCCAATCGCTCCTTATATACTGCAACA